AATATTTTATACATGTATAAAGTATACTGCAAATATTATTAATTGATGAAACATATACGTTTTTACTTTCTCGTTGGATTATTCGATGATAAAATATCTCTAATTCCGAACTAGATATAGATATAATATTGGCTTATAATGTTGGACGAAAATGATGAAAAAACATTTAACACATACACCTGATTCTATTCGTCAAATTAACGTTTATATTCGATAGAGAAAATAATGTAAATTTATCCCGAGCAGAAAACTGACACACATTTCAATTGCGGGAATAAATTTTTGCCCGCTATTTATATTAATATAGAAACAATATTTTCGAGCGGCATTAATTGGCAATTTAGACATTATCTGACTCAATCGTTCGCGTCCTGAAGATCGTGACACTCGTGTAGGGCGGCGTGTCGCACGATCGATTAGCTCCTGGCACGTGGTTATTGAGCATCCTCGGGGTGTCTCTGCGGTTTGTAGGGGATAATCGAACCCGGAGCGCAGGTGGTGCACATTCGAGATAGCGGGTGCAAGCGTTACGTCATCGTGTTCGCCAACTCTGCCATTAATTGGCGACCCGCTCAGTTTATAGCACGTTCTGTTGCTGCGATACGACGCGACGTGGTTACGCGAAAAACAAGATCCGATTCACGAGATTGCATTGCTCAAAAGGAGACCGCAGGACCGCGTCTTTAGACCATTGTCGAGTAAACCACGACGGCTAATTAAAACCCAATTACTGACTCAACTATGTATATCTGTGTCTAGAGAGTAAAGAAGTTCGCTGGTTACCACTCGGTTTCAATTAGCAAAGAATTAAATATTAAATTAGCGCGACGTCATTGAAACGTTTAATATTGCAACAATAGTAATCTGCGACAGACAAATCCTTCTGCGTCACTGCCGGAGGAGAAAATTTTTCTCCAGTAGAGTTTATAACAAAACTGTACCTACCGCTATTTTAAGAAAAACGTACGCAATTGCAGAGATAATTGCTTGTCATAAACGATAACATTGTGTATCTAATGTGAATCTGTATGTCGAAAACACGAGTCAAAGAACCAGTAATCACACGTTCGTGATAAAAGCAAGCAAGCTCAGCAATCTCGCTTTTTTCCCCTGCGCTATATATTGTACATACGTATGTAAATATACAATATATATTTCCATCTCTGTTCCTCCGTTTAGCTCGTCGCGCACAATGACTCTAACCCTTCGTTATAGTTATGCATTCACGTGTAACGGGTACTCGGTTTTTTCCTCTCCTTCTTTTTGTTCCGCTCTTGTCTACCTTTTAATCTCTTATCTGAAAGCGTTGCCAGCGTCGTTGCAGGTATTTAACACGTGTCCCGTTCTCGAACGTGAGTTGCGTATGTAGATACTGCATATCATAAACGCCGACCTCGCAGTCCCCGTTACTTTTTACAACGAATGCGATAATGCAGCTGCAACAGATCAATGTGTCGGAAATAAGAAGTACCTCTGCGCAATTGCATTTTCTTTTACGCGTTCGCCATATGCATATTTCCACAAACGCGCGTATAACGGAAATTCCGTATAAGGAACAGGATATAATTCAAGCTCACGGCGAATATTTCTTTTTCAAACGCGGCCGTTATTAATTGCTTTCGTACGTGATATCTCCTAACGGGAATCGGCGTTATTATCCGGATATATTGTATTTAGCAAATATATTCAATTGCGTATTTGCTGTAGTTTGTTGAATACGGAAGAAAATGCGGTCAACGAAAGGCACCCCGTGTGTCCGCGCTGAGAAAAATGTCCGACTAAATGTAATTGGATAATCCAATTACGTAATAACAAACGGATCTACCCAATTAAATTGTATATTCGATGAAAAATATGATCGGTTTTTCAATCGCATTTTATCGGATAAATTTCGTCGGATGTATCCATAATTTAATCGGAAAAATTAACCCTCGAACACACTGTTTAATTGGTTTATCCGATGTAAATTTTTCTCAGTGCATTTGAGGCCCATAAGTATTCGTATTCTCCGTATGTATTTTTTAGCACGTGCTACATAATTGCACATCTCATAGACCACAGCGTCATACAAGCCCTAGGAAGCGAGCAGAATATTTTTAGGATACGACAATTACCTACCTTTACGAAGCATGATGACATTTCGCTGAAAATAATGATTCGATTATCGCGAACGCTTTGGCGCGCGCCTCGAAAACCGAAAAACGGTTCGTGGAACGTGTTCCTATTACGAGCAGGAAGCTGCTACCTATGTGCCACGGTATTTGCAGCCGCAATTTACGTTCGAGTTACACGACCGACCTGTCAACGAAGAGCAGCTCGACCGCCACTGATCGGTGCTCTCTTACTCCCCTCTTGGAAACTATTGTTTCCGGTCAATTGTTGTCCATTTTATATCTTTCTCTCTTTCTCTCTCTCTATTTTTCCCTCATCTTTTTCTACCCCGCAACATATTACACATCTAACTGGATTTTACTTTGTGTGTGTGTTTCCGTGTTACCTGCCGTGCCGCCGACAGATGGGGACCAAGTCTCGCCAGAGAAAGGTAATTTTTGAATTTTCATGCTTTTCACGCAAGATTGCCTGCGGAATCAATTTTTTCTTTTTTTTCCCCCGTCAAAGCGCATGTCGGCATGCTGACACGATCTTTTTTCTCTGAGTGGCATCTAAATCCTCGAGCTCACCGTGTGTCTAATTGTTCGCTCGGCAAATGCCTTTGTGAATGTATTCACTGCGGCAGGTAATAATGAAATTCTAAGTGATATGACTGGCAATGAGTTACATCGTGGAAGGATTCGATCTTCCTGAACGCCCGAGAGAGCTGTTAAACGATATTCGATCAATTATTCAAATGCACTTTTTACAGTAATCAGCTCTACAGTCTGTGTGTAATATTTACTGCGATGTAAAATGTTAATCGAGACTGGTTACAGAATAATTAAACAGTTTTATGTATAAATCACGCTAAATTTGTAATTTAATATGCAGTTCACACAAATGCTCACAATTTCATCAGTCGTTGTTTATCGATAAATTCGTACGAAGTCAAATAAGGCGATAGACGTTGAATTGGTTGTATTAAAATAGAATTAGGGGCATGTTGTCTCTTACACGTTAAGTCGTTTGACTTCTTCTTCGCCAATGCCACTGATAAGCGGCTTGCAATCTAATGAGAGAATCGCAAATGACTTGAAATCTTACCGAGTTTGCGTACTTTCAGTCGCCTCTTCCGCGTGGCTACCCGCCCCCTTCGGCGATGCTTTTCGATGACGACCCGGGCATTATGTCCGAGGTGGAGACCTCCAGCACGGGATTTCGACGGGGGGGCAAGCAGAGAAGCAGCCTGCCCGTCGTACGAACGCCCAGCAAAACTTTGGAGCGACCACTAGGTATTTGCAAAATATATGTAGAATTCAAATAACTACATAAAATAATCATCATTTAAAAAATGAACAATTAATATGCATATTATTTATTATGCTTTCTCTCAACATTTAAAGCTTCGCTGAAAGTAGTCGACTTAAATATATAGTACAATGAAATAATATATGATATAATAAAATCTAAATAGTAGAATATTAATTAATTTTTCATTTCATGTTAATAACGTATATAAATTAATTAGCTTGCATAAAGGTCTAAGGTCTGAAAGTCTGAGAATTAGTTTTCGACCGATCGACGATTTTATTGAAATATTATTTGGTCAACTTTACGTACACTGAGAAAACTTTTCACCGGATAAACGAATTAAACAGTGTTTTCCGATTACGTTTTTTTCCGATTAAATTATGGATACTTCCGATGTAATGTGATTGAAAAACCGATCACATTTTTCATTGGCTATACAATTTAATCGGATACATTCGTTTTTTTTGTTACATCATTGGATTATCCGATTATATACTTAATCGGACATTTTTCTCAGTGTACCGATGTGTTTTAAATATTGCTTATTAGCACGCTACTGACAAATGCGTTTTTATATCTTCTAGGATTGGTGTTCCTGCAGTACAGGAACGAGACGAAGAGAGCGCTGCTACCGAACGAGATTACCAGTATAGACACCGTCAAGGCCCTTTTCGTCAGAAGCTTTCCGAAACAACTCACTATGGAATATCTGGATAGTCCTCACGTAAAAGTTTACATACACGACAGCAACAAGGACATGTTCTACGAACTCGAAGATCTAAGGTAACTCATGCGATTATGAATGTCTTTCTATTGAGCTGTTTTATTCTCAAGCAGACAAATACTGTTTCACACAAAGTACGCGGTTGCCAAATGTATTTTGCCTTTTGAACAACCGTTTTTCAGTTCAATTATAACGAAATTTGTTACATGAATGTATCTTTGCGATAATTTAAAAGTCTTGCTACATTTTTCATTTCAATAAATTATTATTTCTCACCGCAGCGCGATGTAAAGGCGATTGCATTGACTTTCAGATCGCACCTGAGAGATATCAGGGATCGCAGCGTCCTGAGACTTTTCGAGAGTGCCGACGGAGTGACGGGGATGTCGCCGGGACCCTTGGGGGTGCCGGGAGGTGGTCTGCCTCCCCATTGGGAAGATCAGAGCTACTTCAGCGAGCCGGAATTCGACAGCGAATATCAGCATCAGCACATTCACAAGAGCAAGGTAAGTGCGCGTTAACGAGGCTCCATCCTTAAGCTCGTCGTTTTCCTCTTTCTTCGGAGACGGGATCGATTAGGTACTTTTTCACACAACTTTTTACACGACTTGGCGCGCGTTATCACACAATATTACGTTTGAAAGGTATATTCTTTACATTTCGTACGTAATGTACTCGCTCGCATTAGGTATTTACAGAAAGTTACAATGGGATTGTTCTTTGTTAATTTAATATACGTGGACAATCTCGTAAGAAAATGTTTCTCTAAAATCTGTAGTTGCAAAGATTTGATTTCCTTTTCATTCTCACAGCCGGGATTGATCCTTGCGAGGACTTTGTCACGGAATTTCATACAAGTCGTAAGATTCCTCTTTATTCGAACATAAGCAATAAACTCTATTCTTTTTCACGCGCTTAAAACAGTCGGATCAAATGTAATGGAAACGATACGTATGTTCCTTTTAAAAAAAGTACCGCACGTTTCATAGAAATATAACAGATTTTTCAAGATCTATCAGTTAGTGGAATATAAATTGCCGACGATATCAGTGCGCTGCTTTATGTTAAAGAATTTGGAAGGACGAATCAAATAGAATAGAATGCAATGGTTTATAAAAGTTTATTCGCCATACATCACATATGCACTGACAAAATGCATACACACTAGAGCTAAGTCTTGAGCTTAGGCGACCGAGGCGTACGTTGCTGATCGATTAAGGCGGTTTCCGTCGTGCAATTAAGTTTCCCTTCGTCTCGCCGAGGTCAATCGATCAGCACGCACCTTAAAACGGCGATGAGTATTCTGTCAAAAACGATCGTTATTATTCGTGATCGGTTTCTCGAACTTGCAGCATAATATTGTCCCATTACGCCGACGTTCTTCATTCCGTTAATGAAATTTTTCTTAATTAATTAAACTCTACCTTCGTCTACGGATTACCGCGACGTTTATTACGTATCTTTATCAAGGGGAAACTTCCGGCCATTTGTAACAATATTAACAAAGATTGCAGCCGTTCTCCGCACAAATAGGCTCATTAGAATTCTAATATCTTAGAACCAAGGTTTTGCAAAACTCTTACAGATTTTTCTCACTGTCTTATTAACGAGGGTTATAATTATTTCTCGTTACAATTGACCCCGTACTCGCCACCGCAACACTCGTTGGAGTCTTCAGACTTAATAGTCGTACAGTTAATCGAACGGGGATTGCAAATAAATATGATCGGCAAGATGTCTCGTCAAGCGCACGTTTTTCTTTTTTCATGGCAATATCGCTCGTGTCTCCGAATGCTCGTAACGTTCGCGAAGATACGACAAATAAAAGAGTGTTCGATTACATCGTCGAGGCACGAGAAGCAAAGAATCAATGAGTAACAAAGACCAAAGAAATCGGAAGGGCGCCTGGCTCGGCACGGCGAGTGACAGACATCTTCGTCCGTAACAACTAAAGATACTCAGCGATCTAAGACATGGCTTGGGATACCTGGGAACGTTTCGTTCTCGGGAGATCGTCGATCTTTCGTAGACCCTTATCGAGAGTTCGCATCGTTACTCGGCGGATCTTTCCGGGCGGACGCTCGATAAATTCCGCGAAAAATTCACGCGACGTCCCGGAATGCAATCGCTTCGCGCGCGATTCGCCGCGTTATCTCGTCGGTGGTTTAAAACGCTTTGCACGCCGGTATAGCCGGCAGGTACAGCGCGCCGGAGTAGAGCTTCTTGGGCGCCGATCTCCAGTCTATGACCAGCGCCTTCGCGAACGGTTCCGCGGCGCATCCGTCGCAGACGTCCATCACTTGTCTGACCTCAGCCTCGGCGGGCTCCCGAGGATACTCCTCTTCGTTTAGCCCCTTCGCGAGCCCGAAGCCGGTCAATCCCGTGAAATAGTCGTCGTCCAAACCTTGCGGACTGGAGTATCCGTCGTCAAGAATCGATCCGTCGCCTAATTGCAGCAGCCCTCTCTTCTTCTTCTCGGTCTCGCGTTTTCCTAGCTTCTTGTCGTTCGCGTCCGCCGTTTTTGCCACGAAGGACACCTGAGAAACGTGAGAGACGTGAAACGTTATGAGTCGGGCAAATAGAAATTTACAGTATGTACAGTATACATTCCTGGCCCCGTTTTGTAAAGAGAAGCAAGAGAAAGAAAGCTATACTTGTGTTTCTTGAAGCGGTTTCTAGCGAAGATTTCTTGCAAGAAATTTAGATCGTATGTTTAATTGAAAAAAAATAAGTTGATCACGTACGGTTAAAGTAATGCGAAATCAACAAGTTACGAACGTTTTGAACTGAAGTTTACTGTAAAGTGCAGAAGCTAAGGCGGGTCTTTTCGAGGCGATACAATGAAAAATCTCAGCATCCTCGTGCAGGCAAGTCAAATGCATTCGCCAAGATTATTTCCACTCTGATTCTTCGTCTTTTAATTTCTTACGTTAAGTAGGTCGGAAACTGCTAGGTCGGAACTTACACAATGTAACGTTCACTGGGAAAGATTTTCCTCGGATTACTTCGGGAATAAGTGCAGATGTTTAAAGTAAAATATCATCGAGTTAAAAGGAAAAAGAATATTCAGCGAGCTGAAATAACGACGGGTGGCTAAAGTGTACGCGAACATAAAACACGGGATAGATAAAAGGATAGAGATCCTGGAGAATGTTTCGTCAGCGCGTTCACCCTTAGACACCTCGCGCGCTGAAGACTAAATCCAAATTTAATCGCGCTCACCTTGTCGTCGGGACCAGCAACTTCTCTCGAAGTTTTCTCGGTGTCTCTCTTCGCGACGGATTTCTCGGGCTCGGTCAGACCCGACACCGCCGTCTCGTTCTTAATGTCCCGTTTCCTCGACTCGCTCCTCTCTCTTTTGAAGAGATTATGATAAGGTCCGTCCGCGAAGATCGACGACGGTCCAGGGGCAACCGGCAACCGTTGCTGCGTCGGATTACCGAATTGCGTTGGCAGCGCGGGGAAGGGCGTCGTGAAAACGTCGAGATTCAAGGGCGGCAGCGGCTGCGGGGGTGACTCCGGGACCGGCGGTAATGCCGGATGACGAATGGTCAGGCCGTTTTGTACGATCTGAATCCCCGCCCCCGGATTGATCTTCACCTGGAACATCGTTCGCACGTATGAAACATTCATGCCCGCGATTGAACGTGTCGAGGAGCGGTATAGCATCGAGCGCGAAGGTCTCAAGCGGGACGTACATATGTAAGCGGCGTCGCGTGAGAGCCGCGCGAAAAATAATCACGGAAACACGGATCGGCGGGACGTTCTAATTTTCCGGATGCCTCTCAGGCGTCCTTTAGATACCTCCGCGTCTTGTTTCTCGGTGACACTAATCAGGGAACGGAAGGTAATTAGCTCGACGACACGAAAGCGCGCACGCCGGCGCTCTCGAGTGTAACGAAGTGAGAAAACGCGATTGTACTTGTGTATTGATCTGCCCTCCGGTGAGGAAGGGATGCGGTGGCAAGGGAGGTCCGGTTACAGGCGTTCGCGTGGTAGTCCTCGGCGTGTTATTACTCGTGTCGTGTTCGTAATGATGGGCGTGATGGTGCTTGTGATCTTTGTGCGCCTTGCCCGCGGTCAGGGCAACGTCGTAGAGCTGCACCATCGTCAGTTCTCCTAAATAGCCACCGGAACCTGGAAGAGAGTAGGCATTATAGCGGGCATCGCGTGTCACGGCGATAAATCACGATGTCGTTGGTACAACTCTCTAAAAGTCAATCAGTGGATTATCGCTGAAAACGGTGAATGTACAGCGCACAGTTGTAAGTATAGCGCTGAATAATTCAATTAGAACTGCGATAATGCACTGATTGACTCTTACGAGAGAGTGCGTGGCAATTAATTTTTGAGATGGCAATTCTTTCATTCTTTCGATAATCGAAACTGGATTATCGGACGTCGAGCGCCGAGCGCCGGTTCCGAGAAATGAAACGTGGCGCCGTAAACACTTCGGTCGAAAACATTCTATTCTCATTCAGCTTAATCATTCACGCGTCGACAGTCGAACGGGTCGGTTAGCGGCCCGCGCTCGCGACAAGTGCGGAAAGAAACCGCGATCGCCCTCTGTGGATAATCGGCGATCGATATTATCGCGTAATCGCCTTATATTTTGCGGTACTTTCGTTCGCGAATTATCAATGTAAAATGAGAGTATTCTCACCCGGTGGCGCGTCTTCGCCCTCCAAGAAACCGCCACCCAGTTGTCGTTGTTGCTGCCCTGAAATGGCGATTCCGCCGCCTTTGATAACGTGCCCGACTAACTGAAACAAGCACGACGAATAAGGTCTCTTGCATATTTGATTAACGGAGTGTCTAAGCATATATCTCTGTAGTCGCTTTTTCGTTCGCCGGACAAGTGAAACATGAAATTAGTTTGGAGAGTTTGGCCTAATGCCGGTTTAATTGATCGTCCGAAGAAAGCCCGAAAAATCCAGCGCGATAAGCTACCGGTGCAAATAGAATGAATATCCCGGACGGTGTGTCTCCCGTGTGCGATATAACGCAGTGGATAGATTGCATGTCCGCATTCGAGCGGCGTTATATGGAAATTTAAATTGGTTTCTGTCCTTTTTTATTTGAAAGTAACCTTGGTATCCTCGGATGGGAATATCGCGATATGGAATTCTATACCTTTCCATTTCCCGTTTATTCTATTTCGTCGCTATTCTTTCTCGTTTCGTTTCTGTCCGACGCAATCTGAACGCAGGAAGCCGCCGTCTTGACAGCTCTCGTGCATTTTAGAGCGAACGGCGACTGCGTCTCGTACTTAATTGCGAATCTCGCGTTTTGAATCGAACGCGAGCGCAATTACGCGTGACAATTGCAATAATTTTATTAACATAATGGCACGTTTGCAAAACGCGTTACCGCCTACGCTTCGGGGTGAACGGCTGTACTTCTGTTAATCACTGCAATTAGAAAATGCTATTGCACAGTATGACGCGTTCGTGGGACACACAAGTAAATTCCCGTGCATTGTACAGCCGGGAATGGGGCGACTATGCAAAGTGTTATATCCAAAAACACGCATTAAGTGCGGCAAAATTGCGGCGACTCGCAAACGTGACTTGTATACGGGAGGAAATACCGGAAGCACATTTGCTCGAGGAACTCTTGGCGCATTTAACGCAAACGATAATTGAGACAGCATAGAATCCTTACGAAACTACGTGATAGCTGCCTTCTCTTGCCGTCGAGTAGAACTTTGCACGGAAAGAATTTTCTCTTAAAATTTGCCCCGAAAATCATGTGATCGTGGGACAACGTGGCATTTCGAAGACCTTTATGAGAGATTTACGAAATTTTACCATACATTCCACTAGTAAAATGTATGGTAAAATTTCGGAAAACCACGTTGTCCCACGTGGTCACGTGGCTTTCGGGATAACTTTCGAGAAAAAAATTCTCCCCGCGCACTTATATTCTTAAAGCTCGCATTTAAAATGGCATTTTCACTGAAGGAACATCGGCCGACATCAGCCTTGAAATTGTGCGATTTAATAAATAGATTTTGAGAATTAATTTCACGTATGTTACGTCGTGTTCGCGATCGGGATTTAATTAAAATTCTCTAATAAAGTTTTATCAATATTCGAGTGACGATCGGTTTTCAATGCTGCTCAAGTTTGAACGTGTTGATCTTTCGTTGATTTAAAAATAATTCGGCCGACAATGCATTTTCGGACGGAGAACGGGGGATTCAAGGAGTCACGATAAGGCAATTAATCATTAGTAATTAATTGAAGATACGAGTCGCTTCTTCGGCAACGTGTGAAACTTATTTTCAAAGTGTCAAATATTTCAAACGGACGACGCGTACGTTGGTGTTGCGCCGCGGCGAACGTTGTTTACGCGCTCGGGCGGCTCAGGTACGACGAGGTCACCGAGCCTATCATTCGCACGATAACACTCGAATCGACAGGAGCTCTTTGCGAGCCGCTCCGCGTTACTCTACGATCGTTCCCTACGAGCAATTAGCGATCGTTCACCCGTGCGGCCAATTAACTCTCATGATTAACGTCTCGTGAACGGCGCGTCGAAACGATGGCTACTTATCGGAGTGTTATCTCACGCGATCTCTTTTCTCTTGAAGCAAGATTTAAAGATCCGAACGGAGTTTCCTCGTAATCACGGATATGGAGAGCGCGAGGTAATAAACTGATCGCCGGATTGAGTGGTTCGATTAGAAAATAGTGATATATCGAGCTTTTAATAACATTTTATATTCCGCGTTGAACACGCATTGAGCACACGAGGATAGCCCTAGTCTTCTTAGGAAGCTGCAATAAAAGAAGAAACGGCGTATCGCATCTTTGTCTCGCGTTACTCGTCCATTGCGACGCGGTAAAGTGCGTGTGTGTAAAGAAAAGTGCCGTTTCAAGTGTCGTGCAATTATTTCCAGTAATTAAGTGCGCGAGTGATCGTAATTGTGCTTTCGCGAGTGAGTGTCAGTGACAACGAAGGAAGCTAAGAGGAGACCAAGAAGGTATCGAACGGCTGCGGAACAACTATAGGTAAGAGTTATTATTTTTACTTATTATTTTATTCAATTATGGAAATATGTAGAAATTATTTTAAATTCGAGATAATGGATTTTTGTGTAAAATACGTGAAGTATATTGTGTGCTAAATCGATAACATACAAATATATATGTATTGTAACATCTCATAGATCCATAATTTTGAAATAAATATGTGTTAGACAAATTAAAATTAATAAATATAATAAATATTTAATTTTAAGCAAATTATTTGATTTACTACAAAAAGCTTGTAAAACATTGTACACAAACAGAAGGATTTTCACGAAATTAAATTTATCGCATATTAATAACATAATTTTAACATTTTTATAATGTAAATTTTGATAATTTTTAACAACTCTTATTTAATTTTCTTTGTAGTACTTTGTGGGTTATGAACATTGAAATAAAATGTTTACAAAATACGAAATTATTATGAGTATCTCTGATAAAATTTTTGAAATTGTGACGGAAATGTATGTGATACAAATATGAATTAGAATTTGCAGCGAATTAAAGAATTGCGAATGCAATTCCGGAGATATTCGTGGAATGTTGATAAAACTGTAAATGTGAAATTACGATAATCGTAGTGCAATCCTTATTCCGAAAGAATTTAGTTATCTGCGGAATTTAGTTTTGCATCAGAATTCTTGAATTTTTCGAGTGTTGTTTCACGCGGAATGTGATATCGCAGTCAACTGGAAAAAACACATTTTTTAATAGATTACTTTTTTATTATTCACAATAATATTTTTGATTGCGTGAAAATCTTTTTCTGTTTGACTTTTGTGTATATGTAGTCTTTCATAAACTCTTGTAATAAATCGAATAACTGTCCAGGATTAAATATTATATTTTAAATATGACACATGAAATATTTTACAAAACCTTCTTGCGCAAACTCTTTTAAATGTTTCGTCAAATTTAAACATTTTTCGGTACATATACATCATGTACCATGAAATATAAAATTTGTACGTTATCCATTGTGAAAAATTAAGTTTATTTCAAAATTTCGATGTGAAATCTCAACATGGAACGATTTGATAGCAATAAACATTTTCGCGAAAGTAATTAGTGGAAACAGATTGCAATCCAATTAAATAAATATAATACATTTTTTATTTCGACAAATTATTTTAGTACGTTACCTGACGAACTATTAAAACTCGTTTTAAGATCGAGGCAATCGTATTTGGTTCCATTTGTCGCAAGGAAACCGAGAATTTAGATAAAACTGGAAAACGTTATGTAGCTCCACAGTGAAATTAATAGTGCATAAATTTTTTCGTGTCGCAGTACTAAAACCGTGTGTTCAGTCAGACGCGGGTCTTTGCCCAGGGATCGTCATTGCGCAACGAGTATTAACGAACGCACTTTTCAACGGTTAATTAATTTCGCATTCGTTTCGTCGCGTTGACATTCGCGTCACGATTTCACCGTGTGCTATAATTAGCAACGTGTGATTACATATCACACATACGTTTGTACTTTATCGTCAAAATTAATAATAAAATCCATTTGTATCTACGTCCGCATATGCTGTTTTTTAACAAGAAATTTAGTATGCAGTATCATATTAAGTGACGTACTATCTATTTAAAAAAATACTTTTATCATCTTAGCATTATTTTATGTATCCTAATTTTTTCTGTTATGCATTGCATATGAAAAAAATGGATATTATTTTTAAGATTGTGTAACAATTGCTATAAGTTTACAATCGAACAATCTTTCATCTTTTTAATTATATTATCAAGCACCTGATCGTAGTTGTGCTGCCGCAGAATTTTTCGGACAGTTCCGAGTGTCCCGCGAGTTTCATTAGAAAAATGATTTACGATGCACTCGATATGCTTCTCTTACACACGCGAGAAAATACAGGTCACGCGAGTAAAATTGAAAAGAAATCTGAAAAAAAGTGTGTTCTCTAATTAAAGTCGAATGACGATTAAGAGTTGCGTCAGCAGGACGGCGACTATTTCAGCCGTGGAAGGACGTCAAAACACGAGTTGGCGATTAGTAGTATGATTATAAAAGTTGATTCTAGCGCGAGAGACAACCGGTGCAATCTTTCTTATTAGAATCCCAAGGACAATGCGCCACGATTGCACCGTCATTGTCGGGCTTGCCGTTCGACCTAAATTTCCCGCGACACGAGAAGCGCAATCCCAAGAGATCGACGCGTTTCTTACGCATTATCGATAATTGTAACTCCGTTCAAGTCCCGAAATCGCCCGGGACGTAATGCCAAGCGCGCTTGTAACAAGTTCTCCGAATAACGTAACAACCTCGACGGTCCTGTCGAATTCGCGTTAGTACAGTTGGGTCCACGTCATTACAAGTTGCGAGAACACGTTCTCAGTAAATGAGAAGCAAATGGCTTTCTCTCGGCGAGGCCAGAATTACGTATTTTGGACGAAACTCTCCAAGTTCTAACTTCTAAGCCATGCGTAAACATAGGCGAAACGAGAAACTTTAGAGAATACGGTAAAGCGAAGGAGAGCTCACGACTTAAAATTTGAAGGCCCATCATTCGATTCGAACTACTGTGTGCCAATATTGAATTTTAAGAAACTTGATTGCGTTTCCAAGATACCTTACATACTTATCTGTCTATATATCTGTGTACTTGGGGAACGAAACGATAGGGCGAAATAAAGTGCTTACCCTGTTGTTGAACCCGCGACCTACACGCTCGTCGTTGATCCAAATCTGCCATTCCCCGGTGCGACCATTCCAGCTCTGGCAGGAGTGGTACCACTTGTTAAGTCTCAGCGGATAATTCAATCTGTACAAGGTGTGACCGTTGACGTTGAGCATGTAGTACGAACTCCTTGGTGTGTTCGCGACCCACGACAGTATCCCCCGCGGTTGGTCGCCGACTGAAAGTCGGGGGTGCAAATTAGTCTGTCCGCGACGGGACGCACGGGACGGGAAAGAGGGACGGTTTTTCCGCGCGCAAGCAGAGTGGATGTAACATTCCCATTAGGGACGGTAACTGTCGGGAATACTAACGGTTGCACACACGCAGACACATACGAGATTCTGACGCTTTCAAGCACCGGGGCGTGTTTCGTGTTTTCGGGCGCTTTCGCTCCGGAACAGACGGGTGAAGAAATATGAAGTACCTGTACACTCTTTGCACACCTACTTTAAACTATTTAATTTAAAATGAACGCTAACGCGCTATAACTTTTACCGTTGCAAAGTCTTTAACAACTGCCGATACCAATATATTCCAACGTGTAACATTTATATCTCGTTATTTGTATTTTCGTTAAATAATGAAATAATTTAGCCAACAGATTTAAATGTTTGTTCTGTCACGTGAGTAACTTTTATTTGAGGCGCATAGTTTTACAAAGTTGATTATTAAAATTAATAATTAAATTGTTCATTGTGTAAAATTGGATACAAACGTATACTTTTTATTGCTTTTTTTATTCTCCTTATATAAGGACTAAGAAATTTGATCTACGGATTAAATATTAAAAAGGTATTTCTATTTCTCACTACGTATAGTACATTTCCAGTATACCTATTGATTCTGGAAGCCGAGAAGCGGTTTTAGACACATGCGAAGGTAGGGACTTATTGTTGGTGTATTTATGACACCGTGCATATCCGCCTATTGTCACGCACGCCTGCGCCTAGGAAAAAAAGGAAAGAACACCCGTGTGTGTATGCGTGCAACTTTCTACCGGCACAAAAAAAACCACGCGGAACCTTTCTAAACTGCATATTGAAAACATGGCCGGACAACGTCATTGTTTTGCGAGTATAATAATGCATGCGGGCGTAAATCAATTTCTACAACGATGGGAGGGGCAGCATGATTGTGACTTAAGCTAATCGCTAATCTCCGGAAAGCAAGAGCATTGCGTGGGAATCGATGATGCAACTGAGCAAGACTATTATATCGCGTGTGATGTTTGAAAATTATATTTTCAATTCAATTACTCTCTCTCTCTCTCTTTCTTTCTCGATATTTACAATCTATTCACTGTATCGCGTGTAAATCGCGCGGACCAAATTTGCTAGGAGCATATTTTAATAAAATTTTACTTCACATTTGTTAAACGTGAAAATAATCGCTGTATCGTATTAAACATTATTATATAATGGATCTCGATAAGTGTACGAACGAGTTTGTTAAACTTTAAATATCGCGAAAGTGGATTCATTATCGATATCGCACTTGCAACGCTGTGATTTGTAAATTTTGTTACACATTACCTTGGATAATTTCAAAAAGGTAAGAAAACTAACAATCGCGGGTAAAAAATATTTATAGTAATTTTTGACAATTGTTGGCAGAAACGTTGAAAACAATTGCTGTTTGCTCTTTGTGTATAAATAATCATGGGCTTCGCGTGTTCATTTTTGTAAGTGCTGACAATTGAATGCACCGGTCCGTTAATTTACGAGTTTATTGTTTGCCTATCCGCAGTTTTCGCTGTGCTAGTAAACAATATATCAATTATGAGGAATTAGGTCAATGGTGAATTAGTGCACGTTGTAAAATTCGTTAATCAAACACGTAACTCGCGCCGCAATTTAAGGGGCGCAAATTTCCATTGAGGTTAACAAGCTTTCGATGTAAAAAGTGCGACTCGGTTATATCTTTTCTTTACGCCCTGATAGATGGATAGTCGCGAACTTGTTTTTAAAATGTGCAAGAATTTTCTCTCGCGTTCGATGAAATTTTAATAATGAATTTACATGTAAATACGATTTCGCGATGATTTCCAGCGAGTTTAGATGAACTTTACTTTAAAAATACCACAAGTCCAAGTTTCATTAAATCACTTTCGGCAGTGCACACTCGCTTTCACGTTCGATGTACTACGCCGCGATAAGATAAAAAAGGTGAAAGGAGAAAGAAACGCGCGTGTTTTTCGGCATTTACCTGCGTAAGAGAACAGGGGATGGTCGTTGGAGTGATTGTGAAATTTCGTCCACATGCATAGCGTGAACTCCTTCATGTCCGGCAGGTCTACCTTGTAATGGATGTACTGCAAGATGAAGAGAGAGAGATATATATATATGTATATTGTATACATCGTTAGATCGCATCGGCGAGCAATGCTCGGCTGACGTTGATTTCGTGTGCCTATCGCGATCCGAATTGTCAATGCAGCCGGCGCGCGGCGAAGATTAATGCGCCCCGTGCGATTTAATCGCTGGAATGTGTACTCTACCGCGTGTGCATCAACTCGCATTATACCGGCCTTACATTATTAATCGCCGGCATCGATCCCCGCGAACTCCCGTTTAAATGAACGTTAGATAAACGCGGCGCGTACGAGCACGTTTCCCGCGGGTGCAATCGAGCGGACGTATCGAACAATCGTGGCATACGAGAGCGACTGTTGTTCGACTCGACGTGGATGATTAAAGTTTGATGAGAATTTGAGTCGCGTCTTCGCGAGTGGTCGCCGAGCGACGTTGAACGCCGAAATTGTTGGCAAACAGATGCACTTTGTTCGCGTGGAAAGAGGAACTACCGCGGGGGGGAAAAAAAGTGCCTTTTATTCGCGATTATAATTGCGAAATTACATATGTTTTCCTCTAATTGGATGCACACCCGGAACTACAATGGTCATCGTGCCCATCTAAATTGGTCGATTACATTGCTTGTTGACGCGGTACACATCGATCGATTGAAATTTATGTATGAACAGTGCTCCGCTCTGGGACATACATCGAATATATTGAGGAGCAGCGCATACACTTCGTGCCTTAGGCAGTGAAATTGCTTCGTGTAGAATCACGGCGTAATAATTGACAGGCAAATATCATGTTTTAGTCCACAACCGTGCTCCCCGGCACGGACTTAAATAATGACGAAGACCCTACGAATGAAAGCACGTTTTAGCTTTTTGAGAATATATAATAAAAATTGCAGCATCTACGCGCCACACAGGATCGTAAGTCGTTTAGGATCACATTATATCTCGAGCTTTTGCACGTTTATTTGCATGCTTATCATATAATTATCTCCTTTTCGTTATTGAAAAGTCATCATTTTCGTTGGGTCACTTTCCCAGCAGAGATACGTAAACTGAAACAGAGTCACGTTCTTCGCGACGAAATTAGGTCGCGATTTATGCGTAACATCCGTGTTTCGATTTTATTAAAGAACCAGACCGAGTTCTTCTCACAGCTCTTAAACCGTTCTTTTCCCAAGTGCCGTTACTATTATTCACATCCGTTTCGAACCGGAATAAGCACACGCCCGCAGGAATGCACGCTTTTTCGTCGGCGATTGCATGAGTTCGCGGTTAATCGATTACGCGTTGTCGATGCGAGAGACTCGCAGAGTCGCTTCTTGCGCTCGTAGTTTCTCTCTGACTAGGCGGCCTCCCCCTCCTCCCCGTATGGAGAACAAATGTAGCCAAAAGCAACCGCAAAATCACGACGGTGACGACCGCGATCGAGATTGCGCCGGCGCGCACGTCCAGTTCCTTTTACGGTTGTCAGCTCGCATAAACTTCCCCGTGCCGTTGTAGCGCTATAGAAATACGCGCGTCACCGCGCATTACGCTCGCCGGCGCCTGACAGGCAATGTTTCAGCCGGCCTCTAAGAGGCGACCGTAAATTTGATGGGCGGGATGAAATATTCAATCGTGTACCCGGCGATACTGCTCGCTCAATTTCCCTACTGTTTGCGTTAGGATGATTTGTACCTGCAATTCCCGTGACTTATCGACACGTCGAATTATAACGTCGCGCAATCGGTCTCGCGCGTTTCTCCTTCGACAACTGGACTTATCAATATCCGAGGGAAAATATCGTGTGACATTATGATCAGGCACCATCCCCAGACACCCGTCGCAATTAACTGGCGGCGACGTTCAGGTGCAATACATTAAGTCATTCGGACGAACATTCCTCGTGCATTATGTCATTCGGACGAGCGCTTCTCGTTAGCACGGAAGCTTGCTTAAATAAAAACACCGAGCACAAATCCGCCTTAAATAACGATCTCGCGTTTATCATCACGGGGTACGAAAGCGCTTCCGCCGTAATGAAATCGATTCGTTTCGCCTCCGTATTTAGCGTCACGGCTGCTTTTAGCGAAACGTATCGACGTTTCCTAATGTCGTTGTCGATTTTCTCGGTGTGATAAACTCGCAAATCGCGTTTCCACGAATTGGCAGCCGCGCTTAATATCCCGCCTGGCATTATCGACCGTCACGAGAGGCGTCAGCGCGGCCGTTAATTGCGACGGGGAATGAAGCTGATGAGCGATCGGGCGATAGGCATCCCGCTTCGAGGAAAATGATGGCGTATTAACGATCGTAGAAAGTCGCGCCGCCAGGTAAACCAGGCCTTTGTTCCGTTTGCCTTTGGATCCATTTACGATCCGCGATTTCGTGACAGTCTCCTTTCCCCTGGCACCTGCGACTGCAATTACGCCCGCCTGGCGTCGAGTCTGGACGACGTTCTCCGATGTCGGAGTATATTACTCGAGTAGTCTACGAATACAATAAATACATTCTGCTCGCACTTTCCATCGCCAGTTTTTATCACGTTGATTGTATTCATGGACTCTTCGCGAAATTAGCCGGACGGCGGTTCTCATCTCGTTTCATACCTCTGGCATTTTCTTTCTCGCTCTTTCAAAGCATGATTTCGAATATTTTTCGTACCGTATCATTATCACAAGAATTATGAGGCATTGCATTATATTATAATATCATATTAATGTCTATTTGAAATTTTATTAATACGACGATAACTTTCAGGGCCAATTTCACAAACGTCGGTTAACTGTTAACCAGAGTTCAGTCAACTCCCTATTCTTTTCTATCTTGTTCTCTAAGAAGAGACAGAATCGATTAACAGTTAGCAGTTAGCCGTAAGACGTTTGTGAAATTGGCCCTAAATCATGTTATAAAAGATTTGCATACACACGTCTTTTAGATATTTTGTGCAGTGCTCGGATAAACGGCAAATTTATTTTATTAGAAAAATTGTGCGTTTTAATTTGAATTGTCACAACGTTCACTTAATCGAACAGAAACGCGTGCAAGCATATCGGCGAAGGCCGTTGAGATTACCGTTCTAAATGAACCGGAGTAGTTAAACTTCCTTTCTCCTTAAATCAATAGTTTGTTGTCCGTAGTATGAGAAATATTTAAGCCGTGAACGTTGTATCTTCATGTATTTCACCGCGCCAAAATGATCAAACGCGTTATACAACCGCATATAATTTATATAATTTTACATGGCCGGGTGATTTGTCTCTCATCCGCTTCCTCACAATCAGCGAGCCTAAAATTTTCCATCTCGACTTTCCTTGGCTATTATACAAATTTGCCCAGGAATATTGCCGCTGCCGCATCAGACGAGCAAGTAATTCGCCTTAGATGGAACGTACACTTTCTCGTCTGCTACATCGAAAACGAAAATGTAGACGTGCTCTTGTGTATTTTGCCTTTAACGAACCGTACAGAAGACATCACGACATCTGAACGTTGTAGGTAGCCGGGGAGCCGGTTGAAAGGCAGCCGCAGCGGGATTTCGCCGTTTTCGGGATCACGGCGATCGGTAATAATTCAGAACTCGTTTCCGTCTCGTGGCGGCCCGAGGGGATAGTCCGGTGCCCCGGGAGAATGTTTTCTCTTACTTTCGTTGGCCGCAGAACGCGTGTCATTTCGCTTGCGCCGCGGCGCCGTGAATCTCTTGATCGGTACAATGCCAAGTTGCACTCTCTCGAGCGTGAAGTGCGCTTCACGTAGCACGTGAACGACGGAATTCCGCGTTAGTCACGCACGAGACGCACCTGCTAAAGCTGTGTAGACTAGGTACTGTTAACCCGTCTAACTCCCGATAATGAAGAAGAAAAAAGAAGAACAAAAAGATAATGGTGATGGGGGAAGGGGAGGACAAGGAAGCGGAAGAAGCAGAAAAAAAAGGGAAGAAGAAGAAGAAACGCGTGAGATGCAACTCGCGTAGAATATTGTTTGTCGATGAGAAAATTGTTATAAGTTCTTACAACTTATTTAACACGGACATGCACTCGCGCGCTTTTTCGTAATAACTTTTCTACATGATAAAAATCTTGAAGGATCTGAAGATAAAGCATGCGACTTTTCCGCGTACCGTGCACGTACTCGTGCCGTAATTTTTACATATTAAACCAGAGCAGGTTTACGACCGCCTTTATCAATAATCGCAAATTACCAAGCAATGATTTTGTCGACAAATTATAACGACGAAATTGCATTACAACAAATTATGCATCACGATGCACGACGATAGCAAAATCATATAGTAATTAGCGGACTATTAGCGTTCCTCTAACTACATGATCCAATCACTACGTGTAGCGTGAACTAATTTATATTAGGCAATGGCGATTGCATTTCATCTTCAGATGTATTACATGTGTGTGCAGATACACGACAATATCAATGACTAGAACAAACACCGTCCTACGGCTTGGGGAAACAAGCATCCTACATGCACCGTGCTGTATTGACCAGCCGACCGCACTATGATCATTCTTGCTTTGCACGTATTTGTGAATGATGCGTACACGATTCGAAATGCCCTACATTTCACGGGTTTTTCTCCCGTGTCCATCAACGCCGGTTTTGCCCCAAGCTAGCAAATTACCAATCTGAACTGTAACGAATCCGTATATCCGGATAGAATATCAATTAATTCGTGCGATACTAGATTGATCGAACCTTCCCAAACGTCGTCTCTATTTTGAAGCTCTGAGCGTTGAAATGTTGGACCGCATCGCGAACCGCTTTTCTTTCCGTCGTGTCCGCAAGGCGTGAACTCGACGAAGAAAATATCCGGTTTATATATTTATCTGTTCGACATCCGGTCTACGAGACAAAAATCCATCGCAGCGCCCGAAAACCTACCTCGAAGTACAGCTGCTGGGTCATGGCGACTTTATAGAGAGAGCATGTCTCATGGTCGTCGTGCGCCAGCAGATGATGAGGACTGTCCACGTCGTAGAGCGTCTGCGTAGGCGCATTTCCGAAAATCGATGCCTCCTGATGCAGTATACCTGCGCCGTCGGCGTGGCCCGACACGATCGGTCGCCAGGACGACGAGATCGCCTGCACCTCGCACAAGAATGCAGCGAGAATGGCGTATGCAAATGGTATCGGTGTCATCTTCGGGCGGCTCGTTCTCGAGCTACCTGCAAATTGAAAGGATGCCCTTTTTTTTCTCTCTCTCGGCTTTGGACTCGGCGGACTACTTCGCGACGGAAGAGAAGTTGAAAAACGAGCCTCCGTTGTATTCCTCGTCGTTCGACGAGACGGGTATCTTCACTTTCTGTCCCGTTTATTCGAAAGTAACGAGTAATGCAATGTCATTACGCTCACATATATCACGTGTGACTCACATATTATATAAATACCTCGACTGCTTTTTCTGTGAATATCCTTGCGCGCAATAAAGCGCGCAGCGCTTTCAAATTGGGAGGGATAAAAAGGAAAAATGGCTTCTTCTCCCTGCTTTTTTTTAGATAAAAATGTCTGTTATTGATCAATCTTCGCGAGATAAAATCACAGGAGAATTCGTACAAATACACAGAAAGAATGTTCTTCTTTTGAAAATAGGCTTACAATTAGTTTTAACATGAAAATCTTGAAGTGAGATTATATTGCGTTAATACAAGAAAAACTTACTTGAAAAGCAATTTTATATAATTCAATCAAGAAAATTATATGCTTATCATTTCAGAATAATTTTCTTGAATGGAAAGGAAACGATATATTGAAAAATAACACATTTTCAAACCGAAGATTATAATGATTAAAATAATTTCATTGTCAAAATAATTATATGTGTTCTTGAAGTGACAATTATAGTATTTAAATAAGACTGCACGGAGAGAATTTTCTCTTAAAATTTACCGGGAAAATCACGTAATCGTGGGACGACGTGGCATTTCGGAGAATTTTATGAGAGTGTAATTACTAGTAAAACGTACGGTAAAATTTCTCGAAAATCTCTCGTAAAGTTCTTCCAAATGTCATGTGTTACGATTACACGATTTTCAGGGTAAATTTTACGAGAAAATTCTCTCCGTGTGTAACATTGTTGATTAAGATTATTAAATGCTTTTGCTGTTGCGTGCATGCAAAAGAATGAACGCGTTAATTTGAGTATATAAGAGTTGATCTGACACTTATCTTTTCTTTTTGTGTGCACTATCTATCGCGTGTGGTATCGGCGTATCGTGCAATCGGTGAGCTTTTCCACTCAGTTAATTATTATAATCGGAAGGTTTACGGCTCGATACATATCTGGGGAATTGTACGCGGGGAACAGATCCCAGGAAAGTTACGTTGAATCGAGTCTCGATAGAATAAAGTCCACCACGATCGCTCGCCGCCACCGCCGCCGCCGCCACCGCGTATAATATAATGCAGAAAAGAACGGCGCGCACACGCAACGGCATCATTTCGTTGCGAAATTTAATTCAGGCGAGCGTGACGAACGTTATACCGCTTAAGAACGCAGTCGACGATAATCCCTTTTTTCACACGATAACATTTTCATCTCATTACGCCGCGAGCGTCTTTGGTGTCACGGTATGCTGAGCAGCCTCGCGACGAGACCCAGATACATGGGGATGCAAAAATATCGCGTCTAAATACCTTCTGCGCGCTTGTCTCTTCTCGCATGTACTTGGATAATTAATCGGTGGCTACTGCTAATTACACGCGTTCTCGGACGCCCGCTAATGAATCCGCGCGCCTATGAATTTGAGCGACATGAGCCCGGATTTCTCATACGCGTTCCCTTATGTAATGGAACGCTCGTAAGTCGGCGGCGCGCGTACGGTAGGTAGTCGTGTAAAGAAACGGCGCGAGCGGATTTTACGATTGATATAAATTGCTTGTCAAGATGTTTATTTCTCGCCGATGCATCGATGTCTCTGATAATGATTTCCTAATTGCTCCGGAGCACGCCTGCTTGATCTTAAAATAATCACGTTAGGAAATCGAATAACAAAACGGTCTTTAAAATGAATTAATATGCGCGTATGCTAATGCTTTGTCACGGTGCAAGCAACCGAATGGCACCGAAGGAATTTTCCGTTTTGCCTCGCTTGCAAGCGGAACAACTGGTACAACTGGACGTAGATTCAGTGAAACGGTAGCGTTAACGGAACTAAGAAACTCGGCGGTGCAATACGTAATCGACGATGGCAGCTAGCTTCCGATATTGAAAGGATTTGCATATTCCGCCGCGAACATTCGCTCTTAGATTCAAAATAATAATTGAAACCTGTCACGCATAACCGTGCTTGATTAACTGCTTTAGAAACTCGGGTTAGATGAAATTGAAAGTTGCAATCGCACGAGATGGAATGGTCAAGCGCTATTACGAAAGTGTCATCAAACTGCAAATATTGCAAATTTTCATAATTATCAATTTATTTATCATTATTGTCAGTTTATTTTAATGTGAACATTAATAACGTGCACGATAAAATGATAATTATTTGGCAGCGTAATTGTACTCGGTCATTATTTAGAATTATTTTGATACAATTTTAATAATTTTACTGAAAATTTCACAAAATTAGAGGTGATCGCCGATTAATTGAAAATATTCTGATATTATCGTTATTAACATTTTTAATATAAATGCGCCGTTCCATTATTTTTGTTAATACACGTTTTAGGTCTTCATCAATGTATTACTATACTTTGTGCGCGTAATTAAATTGTAAAAGTCTCCTTTCGCAAATCTCCTTTCTCCGATCTCTTTGTGTCACTGCTTCTTGTGTCAGCGGCGTCATTTTCATCTCACAGTCATTAATGCAACCGTTCACTTTGTCATAAAAGTGTCTCGCGCAGAACGTAGATTGCCAAGTTACTTTGTGACACTATCGTGACCAAACAAATTGCGATCAGCAGTAAAATCTATCAAAGCGAAAATTAAAATGCAATGCCCTGAATGCCCTGAAATGCAATACCCTGGAGACATTAAAACGACTGTACTTTGCATGAATCACGTCAATCCCTTCTAACGGATTGACATCCAGTCTATTAAAATCTTTTCTTTATCAAACAAAACGAAATACTTGCATATAACACAAGTAACGAAAGAAATCGTGTTTGTATATTAACTTGATACCTAGCATATAAAGAACGAAAAATAAGTTATTAGCGTGAATTAAAGATTTATACTAAAACTTTAAAAGACATCGGGATTTATAAAGAATCATGTCGTTATTAAATCGTTATTTGTTAGATATTTTATTCGAAATTTTACTTTAGCAAAATAAAATTGACGTCAAACTTATCGTGTAACAAATTACGTGACATCCAAAATTTCTAGGACCCACTTATAATTTTATAAATAATTTGTGAGCTTTCAATACGTTCTTTATTGTTATCTACGTTTTCCGAGTAGCAACCTCCGTAAGAAATTCCGCACGGGTATGGTAAATGGCATTCCTCGAGCATTTGGAAATTTAAATCACCGGGAAAATTAAACGCACTAACTCCGCGTCAATGTCCCTTTCGAAAAGTGGGAAATTTCGGGTACCGTAGGGCGATCGGCACGGAACTTACCCAGAGATAATGATCACAGTCGAACTCGGCACTATGGAAAGAGGTAGATCCTCGCGGTCTCAGAACGGAAAGGTAACTGTCCGCTCGTTGAGCTCGCCGTCGATCTGGTAAGCTCACAGGAGGTGTATGCACCTCTCCTACCTGGGTGATACACCTTTTGCCTCGTGAGCCTTTTGCCTCGCTCTTCCCCATACGTATCGCTGCACATTGTCGTAAAAGCAACTCTCACGTGTGTGCATCGAGACGTCACCGGCCGATTACGATCGTTTATTCGACCACACGCACGTGTGACGCGCACGGTATCTTAAGTAAAGCACGGAAAATGCATTTCGCAGTACGTTAATCCCTCCACTAAAATTTCGGATTCTGTTTTCGTGTATATCCATCTTGTATGATTCTTTATACATGCATATACATTTACTTTGTGAGTTATACACAATATATTCTGTTAATGAAAACAAATTATTTTGTAGATTATTATATATTTTATAATTTACAAAATAAAAAAGCATTAATCGTCGCGATAAAATTTTGATACAAATACACATACATGTATATGTAATATGATAGGTACAGAATATTTTCCATGTGGCAAAAACAGCGTAGTGATTTAATGACTACCAAAACGCGGGATTTAATTTAACATCTCGTTAAAACGAACTATAATATCTTAAAATCCTCAAAGTTTCTTTCACGTGGAGCTGCTCTTTTAATTCTACATTTTATCACGTTGTACGACATGGTCGTATTTATAGGATAGATCTAGATAAACAATTGGAAAGTGGAAGGTGGAGGCGATCGACAAGCTTCTTACACGTGATCCAAAAATGCCTGGGAAGTGGTCAGCGGGTGAACTCGCTCGAGCGTTCGATCTGGAACGGCGAACGGCACCTTGTGATCGTTGCGGATGATTGTCTCTCGCCTCGTCCTTGGAGCAGAATGCCGAGGATTCTGCAATTTGTGGCAGTAATTTCTAACGATATGATTCGGCGACGAAATATTCAGGATCGCAATACTCTCTTCGATCTCTCTACTCCTTTCTGAAGATTATATCTGTAACTTCTACCGTGCGGGAATATGTTAGATCGCGTGCGGATAAATGCAATAATTGTTGAGTAAAAGTGAGCTGCTCCTTAGCTTCCAATCTAACTTTAAGACCATGATACTCTTTAAATGACTATATTTCTTACTTCTCGCGATTACCAAATGGCCAAGTGATTTCATGCCCATTAAATTCCAATTAATTACATTATTATCCATTTAATTTAACATCCGATGTCTCGTTCTGCCTCATAAACGTGCAGAAGCCTGAGATAGATATTGGTTCATTTGGCCTTCAGGCTAAATGCCGAAGTTACGCTGATGCAACGAGTATTTATGCAAGTATAACACGATGTAGCGTAACAGTTTACCATTAGTTATAGTTTTTATTTCGCTGCTAGTACGATCGAAATCGTTATGCTACTATTTTAACAGAATTGTTCGTTTCTGATATTTAAATTTCAACTAACGTTCCATGGACATCTGAAATTCAATTGATAATCTACACGCACATTGAATTCATTAGTGCTTAATATTTCTCATTTATTTTACAGTATTACGAATTAGTTGTTGTAACAAAAAGTTGCACATTGTGCAATTATAAAGTATGTTTGTACAGACCCAAAGCAATGCAAAAGGAAAGATACGAAATGGACATGCATGGTACTGAAAATTTTTCTCTGTGCAGACATTTCCGCTGTTTAAAAAAAATATTCTGCCAACCGGAAAGAACATTAAGTAAGGCGCACGTTCGTGATTTAATAGCAATTGGAATCTCAAGTTATATATATCTACCGTTTCACTCGGAACACTTTCACATCTTTGAACCCGTGATCAGTTTTCAAATCGCATCTCGCTTTCCATATATTCGTTTCTCGAAAATGTTGAAATTCATTCCAACAAATAATTATGGAAATTGTTATTATTATCATTTACATTGTTGAATTAGTTGAACGTATCACAAATTTATGTGCTGAATTTACATTGCGTTACGTTTACGAAATTTCTCTTCCGCAAAAGATATGTCTTTCGCAAACGCTGTTTCGAATATAAAGCATCTCGGAATAATAGTCTTTGTTTTCTAAAAGAAGTCTTTAGGAATATTTTAGAAAGAGATAATATAAATATTCCAAAAATGGCATAACCAGGTGATTTGAGAATTCACTCTTCTCTTTTGTCATTACATTACGTTCTCTGCAATATAAACGTTGCACAAAGCTGTCACTTTAATATATAAATTCTTGCTTAATCGTGGCTATCCAAACTGACTTTTCTACATAAGAATATCAGGATGCGTGTGCGTGTAAAAACAATCTACAAATATCAGGAAGGAAACGTTAAATATGAATCAAGAAGTATTCAATTGCCTAACTGCATTAGCAATGATTATAGTTTTTATTACATATGTGCCATTAGTTAAACGTGCTGAAAAACGTTTAATGCCCGGTTGTGAGTAGTCATAAATGCGACAATGTCATAAGAAATAATGGCACGGTGCATTCACTTTAATGTATCCAGTAAGCACCTTTAAAATTGTCACGAGTTTTACTGTACTACATACCTTCTGTAATTAAATTATTTCTATACTCGGAAAATAAAAAGATCAGAAACCGATCGTTATTTCGGGGACTTGCAAATATTAGGATCGATATGTGCTTTCATGATAAATTAATAAATACGCGGAGAGAATTTTAAGAGAAAATTCCCTCCGAGTAGATGAAATCAATAACTTCTCGAATTTGCGAGTTTGCGTTTCTCGCGCACAGGTCGAAAAACGGCTAGGAAAACTAGGTAGCTTTTAACATTTGGAAATTGAAGGCAAATTAAGATGTTACGTAGCTGTGGTCGAAACTCGCGCATACGTTAAAATGAAGAGGCAGTATGTAAGCGGTAGTCAGCTGCCTTTTCGGTTACGTATACATTCGTAATCTCTGCGAGACGGACACGTTTCTCTCCGCTTTTACTTTCTCTGGTATTTTGTGCGGTGTGTGTGGCGCGTGATCGTTAAATCTGATCGGGATGAGATCGAGCCTCGCAGTAACGGCCGCGTGCGGCCGCGCATTTCAATCGGAGAGATAATAACGCGCTGATAGGGGCGCTGACAGTGGATAGTTTATTGAATTCCGACGAGAAGTGACATCGATCGATATGCATATTATGCATCCTTTCCATCCAGGTCTATCGGGGTTATTTCCATATTCCGCGATCGACCGGCGGATGCCATTACGACGCCGTTTGCGATTTTGCGGCGCGTCTGAACGTTCTCGCGAAATTAAAAGGCGCCCTGCCATCGCGAGGGCGACTAACCGCGTAATCGGAGATGACAGCGGTTACATATCGGCCGGCGATTTACATATATTACGTTGATCAGCGTAATGTACCAGATAATTCTCCGCGCTGTAGATTTCTCGGCTAATCGGGAGTCAATTTTTTCTTGGCAAATATTGACGAAATGTTAATTTCCGATCTTGACTCCAAGACTCTCGCGCGCGAACGTAATGAAATTTGTGTAACACGAGCGTTTCCGAGATTTCTTTTCTTTTCAAGCACGTTAAATTCGCAATATTAAAAACGGAAAAGTCGCTTTAGTATTTTCTGAACAGCGTTAAATACATTAAAATTCAAAGGAAAGTTCTCTATTATGAGATAGTAGGTTTTCAACGTCCAAATTCAATCACAAATCTTTTTTCGCAACGATTACCGATCGAACAATTAATTTTTCACTAAACAGATTTCACTCCAAGGGCAATAAATTTACGGTGGAGCCAACAGATGATGGCAATTAATTTAGCGGAAACTCCGCTATCTCACACAGTGGGAGCTCACCTCATAATAGTAGAAAAGAGATTAAAATATTGGGTGTAATAGTAGAGAAAATAAAGACTAAAATATTGTACAATAATAGAATAACAAATGGGAAATAGAACAAATTAACATCAAATTACTTTATCGTTTTGATAAACATAACATTTTAAGTATATTTACTTCATAATTAATTAGTGCGCATTAAATTTTCTCACTGTCGTCGTTATCGGATTTAACAAAGCGTTAGATCTTAAATTCGTCGTGGAATCCATGGTTGAGGGAACAGGCAGATCTGGAGCAGCTGTAAACGCGATCAAGCGCCGGGAATCCAGTCCGCTTGACAAAGGTAGACAGTCTCGGAGGTGGCGAACGTGTCGTCACCGCACGTCGTGTCGCGCGGCGACCGCAATTCTTTTTTTTTTCCCTCTCGGTGCTCTCCTCCGCTATAGAAAGTGAGTACAGGCGTGGTGCGTGCGGTATATAACGTGAGGGAAAACGACAGCTCGTTAAAACGACGTACGTATTGCGAAACTCGGATTCGGACCCGTGAGCGTCCGGCTCGCCGCGGGCCGTGTGCCGGACGGAGATGTGGCCCGCGGCTACTAAAAATCGAATCCGGTCGAGGCCGAAAGGTTTCCTTACTAGATTGTAATGGGACCGGGATAACTACCGGAACTGTCGCGCGCCGACGAAATCGATTGTCGATACCAGAACCTGGAAGCTGCATGGCACGAAAGTGCCATCGCCTTCAACTAAAACACTCCTTTCTCCTCGAGCACTTGTTATGCGTGTTGCCTTTGACATAATAAACGCAGGAAGAGGATATCTTTATTACGGCACGGATGGGACAGCCGGTTGACAACTCGAAATAACGCGTGTTGTATAATTCCGAATTTTGTCGCTGGACGTGTTCGTTGCTGACGATGAATCGTCAATGCTCGATTGCGACTTGTCCCGTAATCGAAGTAGTTAGACTTACATAGTAAAAAGAACGAAGACAAAGCCTGAAGACAATGTCCGTACAAAGAACTACGCTGGGTATTGAAAAGGGAACACGTGCAGTACGGCCTTAATTACATGGATTAAAAAATTATATAACACAATGGCGAGAAAGAGAAATGAGAGAAATGTAATGTAATCTTCACAATAATTAACTTGAAATCTTAAACGAGCGATCTTAGCGGAGGTATTACGGAAGAAGAAAGTTATAATTGTATTTCTTATATCCCTCCTTTCGTCGCATTTTTCTTTCCCGTTCACTAAAGTTCCGTTTAACCGGCGCGAAC